GTCAATGAAAACAGTGATGAAAGCACCTTTTTGAGCATTTTACTTATTTTCATCAAATGTATCTTCCCTTTTAATAATTTCCTAATAAGTAAATCACATTTATTGAGAAAAATCATGCAAATAATTAGTTAATTAATGGTGTTAGGTATGTCAGCTATTTTTAGACTTAGTCAATCAAAATGAATTTTTGTCATATTCTGTCAACTTCATCCTTTCTATTGTTAGTCACATTTTGGTTGACTAAATTTACATTTTAGTTTTGTCTTAAAAAACACATAACATTTTTATCTTGTTTTAGTCATACATTATATTATATTATATGTCAAATTAGTTGACAAAAACATTTTAGTCTCATACAGACCAAAAGACCAAAAATATGTATTTTAGTCAAACTTCCAGGTTAGAATCTGTTTTTAGGCTAAAAGAACTGCTACTGAAAATTACCCACAATGTGATTGGTTGTGGTAAAGTTGTACTATACTGTGTTTATAACTGTTTCCATCCTTTCATTTAACAACAAATGAATGAAGTACTAGACATCAAGCTACTGCCCACTAGAGTTTATTAAAGCCCCAAATCAATGTTCCACAACAAATCCTTCAATAGATTACATTTAGCTGGCAGACCTGACTATACAATGTGTGATATTGTACAGAGATTTAGACTCAGTTATTTGGTAATGAAGTCATTTTAGTCTTTTTAACTTCTCTGCTTCATTGTGAAAAAAAAGGTTATTGACGATTATATTTCATCAAAATGTTTGTTAATAAAATTCTAACCTAATAAAACATGCATCCCCTTAATTCAAGTACAGCCTCTCAACCCCACCCCCACACACCCCCAAAGAAGAGCCCAATACAATTATTACAAAACAGACAAAGACATTCGACTGAAACATTAAATACAGAAAACAATACCACAGCCTCAGCAGAAGCAGACTTTGTAGCTCCAAATGTGTTTTGTTATTATTATAATTGTGTTTTTCAATAAACTAATGAGTAAAATTAAACCAAACAATACTATTAATAAAGCAAATTAAAGACTATAATATGTACTGTACACACACAGACACACAGACACACACACACACAATTGATTTCCACTGCTAATTCAAATGAGTGCCACGAGTACAGCTGTAGGACTAGTTAGACTTTTTAGGAACATTATGGATAAACATAAATAATCTATCAGACAGGGCACAGAGCTAAGCTTAAAAGGGTATATTTCTGCTCATGGAGCTTTTATTTACAACTTTTTTATTTTGCCCCTGTTTTTCTCCCTGCCTTCACAGCTTTGGAAGTCGGACACCATGATTCCCCGCTACAGCGAAGGGCTTCAGTTTAGGACGATTGATGGCTGCTTCCCTGCTGAGATGACATAGCATCAGCCAATTTCACCCAGCCTCCAAGGTAATCACCTAATTCTCTGGTGGTGTCCAATCGCCACAAACCCAGAGACACACCAGAGGACTTGTTTCACCCTGAACAGCATATTCCCCTATTAATCATAGCTGCACATTGAGGCATTATCTCTTTTTGTGTCTGTACCACATGCAGGTTATGTAATGGCAACAACTGTGAAAACCACTATACAGGAAGCTTTAAGATAACAGAGCATCGATTTAACAGTTGGGTAAACAAAGAGAAGAGACCAAAGAGTTGTTTAACCTGAGGGAAACTCTGTTCGCTTATCTTTTCGTTCTTTTTAAACAATGTAATGTAATTTTTAATGTAACGTAATTATCTATCAAAGAGAATGTTAATGGAAGACAGTAAAAAGTATGAATTAATTCACACTCTGGCATATGTGTGTCCTTTCCCTTTTGCCCACCGTGACACTATGTGCCCTGGGTGAAACCTGAGCCTGCTGTTGTTACAACGTGACATCTTCTAACATATTGCAACAGTTAGGATGGCCTTGATCCCCACGACCTCTTGACACTCACTCACGTCTCCACACAGCCTTCAAGAGATACCTCGCCTGGGGAGGCATAGGACAGGCAGAAGGTGAGATGAGGTTGGACATCTGAAAGTTTAGATGTGTCACTGGTTCAACAGACATGCTGGACTTAAAAATTAACACACACACATATGCACACACTGACAGCTGTGCCTGATGTAGCCCCAGGTGCTCAGTACAGGATTGGTTAGTTGGCTCTGTTTGAGACCGTATGCCATTCTTTGATGACCCACACAAATTCCCTCTGGTTTGCAGTGGAATGATAGAAATGGCTGTATCGCAAAAGCAGCAGCCTCAGTTGTCAGAAGTTAGGTGCAAAGGAAAGACTGTTCTCCCCCTCTCACCTCAGCTCATTCTCCCTTTTCTACTTCCACATAGGCAAACATACAAACTCTTTCCGTGACAAGTTCTTGCTACGCCTAAATATGTCATTAAAGAAAACGAGGAGGAATGAAAGAAACAGAGCCGTTGCTACATGGTTTTCAATGTGGGGAATCATACAGGAGCTGTTAGACTGTTTTAGGTCGGTCCAAGCTGTCATTTTGCACCACAAATGAAAGCAAAACAACAGTGTGGGAGCCAGATGAGCCAGTGGAGGCTCAAGGACTTCGTACTTTGTGTCTCGGTTTCATATTAAGCCAACACCACTTCACCAACTCCTCTGGCTGCGTACCTGCCTTCCAGCCATCCATTTTCTCTCCAGATCCAACCTCCTTCCCTGCATGTCACACTGCTCAGAGCTGTGCTCTGACTCTTTCCCAGTCATTTTGCTTATATCTTTCCCTCTGTCATTTCTGTCATATTTTTCTCTCTTTTTGATTGACACATTTCACATCACCGCAGAGGGAAAAATAAGAAACAACTGCCCTCTTTACCTCTCTTTGCCTCCTACTCTTAGTACGTTTTCTTTACATTTCCTGCTCTGTTCCTCTCCCTCTCCTTCTCTGTCTGCCTCCTCTGCTCCACTTATGCATCCCAGCAGTCTAGATTTCCTTTCCTCAGGTTATAATAGTTAGACTGTGAAATCACCCGGGCCCCACACCCCTCCCTTCACCCCTGTGTCCTTCTTTCCCTTTCCACCCTCTAACATCTTTCTCTCCCTCCTCTGATCCCCTCCCTCCTCTTACTACTTATAGCCAATTTTTTAATATTTATGGCCTCAAAGCTTGAGAAGTGGGTGAGGGCACAGGGCTTTACTTTGCTTATGATTACTTGCGTGTTGTCAGGAACCAAACGAGGTAAGGTGAGGGTTGCACTACAAGGTTGAGGCTGTGAAGCTGCAGCCCTGCAGAGCAGAAGAGAGGCTGCCCAATCTCCTCTGAGCCCCCATACTGAAGTGATTAGACCACAGGAAGCTGAACCTGACATTGCTGACACTAGGCCCCCTTACCACATCCTGCCTCAACATCCACCCACACCACACGACACCACCTTTCTACGCTGACACCCGACTCACCGTGGAAAGGGCTGATTTACATATTCTGATATAGGTACAGAAGATGGAAGAGCAGAGGATGTAGCAGGACACTCAAGAGAGTGGGAAAAGAATGAGAGATCAATGAAAAAAATAAGGGAAAATGCTTGTGGCAACTGCTTCCTTTATTGTTTGCCTGTCTTATGGTGTGGTGGAACAATGCAGCCTGTCAATTTTCAAGCCTATTAACTATAACTGGGATAACTACTGCAGGTGCTTTCTTTGGCTGCTGATGACCTGGATCAAGATATTTGAGACAGTATGTTGTTTTTATATATGTCACTGTGGATCTATATGTGGATTTATATGTGCCCCATGTACTCCATTAATCCCACATTTTGTGTCTTAAATATCTAAAGAAGTTAAAAGAGGAATTAGCGTTATATGAGTTAAAGTTAGTGGTTTTTCCCTCCTTATGAGAAAATATGCACCAATTTCATTTTCTCCTCACCGATCCAGTGCATTGTAGTTTAGTGAAGATGCTGTACGATAAAATGTATGGTATTTTGATCAGACAATATAGTGATTAAGTTAACTTTCATAAAAGAGCACTGCTGCCCTCTTCTGTTTGGGGGTGTTAAGGCCAGAATTGAGAGCAGAGAAATTGCACTTGATTATATGTTGACTTTGGAGAAACTTTATCCCACTTACTGAAGAATAAGTGGGATAAAGATACTCACTCACTCACTCACTCACTTGTTCACTCAAAATAAATACCAAACAATGGTTTTTTTTTTCTGCAACTTGCTTTATTAGCGCCTTAAATCAGCAGCATTTGACAGGTTTTCACAGTACATTGGGCCTCTTCTATTTACATGTGAAAGTACTAAAAAGTATATCTTGCATATACTTCATAATATCTAAAAATTAAAATTTAAACTGCATATGCCCTTGTAATTTAAAGTGAATATTCATAATTATGATTCTTTCATGAGCATTCAAAAAATCTAAACCTGTGTGTAGCCAAAAACTCCACATATTTCATTTTAGCTGTTATTTGTTCTCTGTCTCTGTCTCCCTCACACTCTCTTTCACCAATCAAAATGTGTCTCTTTTTTAAAGTAGTGATTGCTCTCTGTTTGACTCCCGTCTCCGGTGAAAGTGTTTCATTTCAATAATGCAGAAGTGAAACCAGCTCCATTTAAAAAGGGAGTCTCACTCAATACTCTGGGGGCCGTGGGAATAATCAAAACACTGCCAGAGCCAGCGAGGAATACAAACTCAGTTAAGAACAAAGGAAATGGAAATCAATGGCAGGATATGCAGATTTCTTTGACAGCTCGACACGCAAATAATCTTTTGGGAGTTTGCCCTCTGTTGCCTTTGCCAGGTTAAAATAACAACTGAGCAGGGAAATATAACATGCAGTATGTTGAAGAAAGGGCACAGCATTACACCTACTTAGTTTTGTGTGAAGGTGTTCCAAAACAATCAATAAAGAATGTACTGCATTGCAAGCAAGGCTGAATCGCCTAAGGCATGGTCATGTCTATAAGTGGATAGCTACCGACCTTAGGAATTAATTTAAAGCTAAACACTGTATTATTTAAAGGCTGCGCTTTATGTTTTATGCACAGTTGTATGTGTCAGTTTGTCGACACTTGAGAAGCTTGAGCAAAATCTCCATCTTATGGGCGTCTTTCTTGAAGCAGCTGAGTAAGGTGTAGTCTCTCATAACAGATTCCAGCATCTCTGGTGGCACATCATACTGGAATAGGCCTTGCTCACTGTATGTTGTGGTCATCATTCCCTCATCCAGCATCTGCACAGCACATATTTGGAAACATAGCAGAAATGTTAAGAAAACAGTATACATATGGTTTTGAAGTGAAAGATTAAGTAAAGTTCTGGTATCCCATAATCATTTAAACGTGGGTACATTGTGTAACAGTAATCCATAAATGTGATTTGACACACCTTCTTGATGAGGACCACCACCCCTTGCTCCAGACTGATCAGTTTCTCAGACACCCACTTGGTCTTGTTAAGCAGCATTTCAGGAGCGCCATCATAGCGATCCATTGTGGTCTGCAGGTAGACCAAAGGCTCGATCCACGACTGAACCAGCATCAGCACAGAGTGGAGCAACCATTTGTCCTGTGGGGTACACACATGAAGAGTTGAAAGAAGTGAATGAAGAAAAACTAAACATAACTGACAAAATGAACAAAGTTGTCCTTAAATATAAAGAAAATATAGAAAATCCACTAGACAACATTACACAACCCAACAAAACATGACACAGCTAACAGTAGAACTGACTTTGCTCTGTGTTGGAATGTTTTTATCTGTGATGAATAGCAGCCATTTGCACTTCAGAAGGTAGTAATGAATAGAAGTACTCAAAATGGTCTTAATAACACTCGGATCAAGGGCTTGTCAGCTACAAAACATTTAGCAACAACTCAAGCGGTTGAAATGTCATGGGTGAAGAAGCAGTTGAACCTACCTAAATGCCCCTAAGCAGAGCAGACTCTACAGCAAGAGCCAATGACTGCCACACAAATGGCCATTAAACCACAGAGCAGACAACATTTCAACCGAAAAGGGCAAAGGATAAATTATTAACAGAAAGAAAATGTATATATATATTTCAAGGATCACATTTACTACTGTAGTGATGACATGACTTTCAACCAGCATGTCTATGTTGCTAAAAATTAGACCTTAAAGAAATTGCTCTTGCCATCTATACTCCTCTGTCTGTTAGTTGAAGAGGGATTATTGTAGAACTTCACATTAACCAGATTACAGTTCAGCCAAATCACCCTTCATTGGCCTTTTACTGAGTGTCTCAATCGAGTTTCCACCATGTTCATCAAGCTGACCGTTGGCCTAAAAAAAGCTGTGCCCTGTTGGACAGTAGTCAAAACCTCAGTAGGCACTGACAAATGCTTGAAACCTAATACAGGCAAGTGTATTTCTGAAATTTGAGGAACTTTCATTGTAATTTGTGCAAACATATCATCATTCATCAGCTGACAGCAAGAATTATACAGAGGGGAGGTTCACTTGCACATTTCGTGATTGTTATTAAAAGAAAATAAAGCTCGGGCTATTAGCACCACTGCAGATTCAGAGTGATTTGTGAGCAGACATGTGCATGCCAACACTCACATGCACAGAAAAGACGGACACACAAACACAGATCCATGCACTGACATAAGCACACGCAACCTATATTTGTATTTCATTTCCTTACATACAAACACTCACAGAATGAAACTTCGTCTGTACTCACATATACAGTGACACACAAAATCAGAGGTGCACAGTATTACTATTCTTAACAGATTAAGACCAAAGCTCTAACAAGGGAAATCAAAAATCCTGCAGTGATCAGCAGTCATGTACTTACAGATATTTGCTGGATTTCACTTTTGGAGCTGGGGATGGGTAAGGCTTTGGTGATGCATGCATAACCAGCTTGGTTCCTCTGGAGCTGCAATGGGAACGGGACAAACATCTCCTCCTACAATCCATACAAGCATGGGAAAAAGGAACAGCAAAGGAAAAAGTGTCCATGTTCACATACATATACATTCATTTGTTACATACATTTTACATATACATATTTTTGTCACAATACAATATGATTTTGAGTGACTGACCCATTTATCCTCAACCTTTGTCATTAGTGTATACAATTAAAGCTTATTCTTTTTGTTTTTTTTAGCTTACTCTATATGTTCAAAACTGGTTATAAGCAGCTGTATTCAGATCTGTTTGTTTTGGGAATTTTGTTGGTTTTAGGCAATATCCTAAAATGGTTACACTCCAACCCTAAAATTCCTTTTTAAAAAACTGATTTGAAAACCTTTGGTTCTCTTAGATATAGAATTGCAAGAACACGGTGGAAGACACACAGAAAGTCACAGGAAAACAATGACAAAAGCTTTGCCAATCTTGGCCACTGGAGACACGGCAGAGACACATTTTGTTCTCCAGCATGTTCTTATCTCTGGACCCCATGCAGGGTCTTCTCAGTAACAAGCCCTACATCATCCCATTTCAAAGACCATTTTGGATCTCGAGCCTCAGAGTAAAGGGGATTCAACAGGCTGCAAAACCTGTCCTCTCACTGCAGCAGTATATCATTATCACATTCGTATTACTCCACTGTAGGCCTGCTTCTTCAATAAAACATCTTTGGCTCAGAAGAGAGATAGAAGATTACTTTGAAGCCTGGCAGTGAGGCGATGATCATGTCAGAATCAAAAGCAAATAACACATAATATATAACAGAAAGTGTCAGTGCTCTTGGTCCAGAATATTGTGCGAAAGACCAACAAAAAGTCATTTTGCCCTCATTGTAGAAATCATTCCAAGTGTTGCTAGATTGCATGCTAGATTTGATGATAAAAAATAATATAGCTGAGACTATACTGTAGAGGCACGTCTTTTTAAGCACTTTTTAGCACTAACATGTAAGAAAACATTTAACTGCTTTCAGGATAAATTTATATTTCATTACATCATTTTGTTTTAGTTCCATATGAAAAGTGATATTATACAGCTTCTCAAATGCAATATTCTGCATTGCATTGCATTCTGTCTCTGCAGCCTTTGCCTGAGGCTGCGTTTCTCCAGCACTGCTTTTCAAAATGCTGATTTCACATTTCATAAAGATATTCTTGAAAACTCATGCTCAACTCAACTGATAAGATTATTTCCCCTTTAGTTAATAGATTTTCTTACATTGCCTTGCAGTTTGAAAGACAATGGGACAGTCCTAAAACCATCCCTTATGATACCCTTCACCTGCTACCCACCCTGCAACTCCACAACTGTGTCCTTTGTCCTCTGACCATATGTGCTGATCAGCTATACTCTCCAGTATTCACTGACATCTTCAACACCTGACTGGATACATGTCATGTACCAGCCTGATTCAAAGCCTCCACTATCATCCCCCTCCCCAAAAAACCAAGTAACTCAGGACTCAATGACTACTATTACAGACCTATCATCGTGCTTTCCCACCTCAAAGCCATGACATGTGCACATCATGTGCTACTCAGTGAAGAGAGATTTAGTTAGTTAGATCTCCTGAGGCGTTTCAATGCTAAATGTATTCCTTTACCACATCTGTCAGAGACTGTGGATACAAATGGTCTGTTAAACAGTAAAAAAAAAAATAATAATTCCAATACAGCACAGAAATGGATAGATTCATTTTGGTGTTACTTACAAACAAAGAGCATGATTCTTCTGAGACGCGGTATATTAGCTCAGCATGCTGGATGACTCGGTCTAGAAGTTTCTCTTGGGAGATGGAAGGGCAGCGGGAGAGGCTACTCTGCTCTTCCCTACAGTCCAGTGGGATGCTAACGGTAAGCAGGTAGGGCCAGAGCAATATAGCCCATACACCCCGCTGCTTGACTGGAGAAATCACATACACATATGACAAATGTTCACAAGTAAATACTAATGCAAACATACACAAAACACAAAACCCCTATTATCCTACATCTTCAGTCTTTGCTGTAAAACTACTGTCTACTTCTTCAGAATTACATAAATTACATAAATCAAAATCACTGCCTAACTATATAAACTGGGGTTTATATCTGTCAGTTATATTCTGTCTTGAAGTGACACATTACCTGTCATGATGTGCATTCTGTCAGTACTCTTCAAGTCTTCCCAGCTCTTCTGTCATGCTGACTTCTTTTAAAAAGCTTGACCAGGCCATGAATTAGGGAAAAGGTCATTTTGGTCGTGCGTAAGTACTTGTAAAAAGATACTGGTCTTCCCAAAGTAATGCATTTCTTTCCTGATGCATAATATATGGTAACTAGTCAGGCATGCTACAAATAAATATGTTCGTTCTTGATTTATAGTTATGAGCTGGGATTTCTTTCTAAATATATCTTTCAATATGAAATCAGTATCAACTGACCTCAATATAAAAATAAATCCAAATAAATGTTTGTATATTTGTATTCCACCCTGCATCCTGACACCATTGGCAACCAATCCAAGAATGAAGACTGAGACTGATTAGATTTATTAAACAATAGCTACAAAAGGAATGGGCTGAAAAATCCCTCCTTTCAGCTGAGGGAAGTATGTAATGTAGATTTAAACATCTATGACAGAGAGAAGGCTGCAGAAAAGACAGCGTAGAACTGCAATAGACATAAGAATGGGGCCAAATGTATGAGAGTCGGAAATCACTCGGATCTAACAAAACCCCTCAAATCTTCTTTTTATTTTGACATTCATATTCCATTTTGCTCAGAAACCATGGGTGTGTGAGTAGGTCTACCCAGAAGCTATGGTTTCCCAAATGGTAATGACTGTGTTTAGCTGTCATAGAACGAAGCACATATTTAGCAGTTATTCATGCCTGCTTGAAACAGACTCCATTGAATGCTTCATTTTTTTTAATTTCTTTTTTTTGCTGCACTACCATATTTTATCTTAAATTCACTTCTGTTATAAGTGTGATACAATTGGAAGATTACCGGGGATATGTTGTCTGTTGTCAGTTTATGGTAATAAATCCATCCTTTTATTTCTGCCTCATACACATAAAATTGAATATAATGGCTTATTACTGTTTAGTATAAACTAAATACAAAATATTGCTAAAAAATTACGTGGACCAAACCATAAAAAGACAGGCCAACATTCGAAAGGCTTGAGCTCAAATGTTTGTTGCTTCAATGAAGCATGTTTAAGGATGAGCTGAAGACAGAGAGGGGTTCTGAATTTAGTGGCTCATAGGGGTTGTGTTACTAAACTCAACATCCTTCTCACGCACCCTCAAGAAACCTGAAGCCTCGTGTCTGTCAACCTGTTTCATATGAAACAATGTTCTCCTCCACTTTTTCCTTCTCCACCTTCTTTGGCGTTAGGAGATTTGCTTATCTCTCAAAAAAAAACATCATGTTTTCTTCAACCTTCTTATGTTAAATCCCATTAATTGTACATGTAATTTAAAAGAACTGTATGTTGGTACATTTACCAAACATCCCAATTCATCCAAATTTTTGCTCAATCTAATCTGATTTGGATATTGGCGAAAAAGGTATTTGGAAAGTCTTTATAGCACCTTATCTTATTCATTCTCGATTCTATAAATTCACATTTAAGGTATTTATTTATAGGTGTAAGCATGTTTGTGCATCCACACTTTTAAATTCTCTTGTACACAATATTTTATGTCAATGAGGGCATGCATGTGTGTGTCTATCATTACTAGTATTCTCATGTCGTAGTGTTAATGAATGCCTCTGAAGTACACAGAAACTGATAAAAAACGGAATTCTGTCTTACATAACCACAAAAAGGTAGTGAAACATGATTGCATAATTACATTGATAGATTCAGCTTCCCCTGGGGCCACCAAATTGATCAATCAATTAAAGCTGAAGTTAATTTAAAAAAAAAGTTTTTTATATTTGCTAAAACTTTCACTATACTGATAGACGTACATATGCCAGATAAAAAGATCCAGTTCCTCTGTGTCCTCCTAGTGCTCCTAATGACATTTGCAAGAATCTAACCCTCTTTCATATGAATATGAACCCCCAGCTTTGGGTCCCTAGGAATGAAACTCAGCAATTAACTATATCTTTTATGGTTCTGATTTGTCGTTTTTGACACAGACAGTGGTCTAGTGAAGGGTATACGCAGGTATATAGAGTATACCTACTCATTTTTATGTCAGCATTTGGTATACCTGTTTCTAAGTCACCTCTTATGTGGATTATTCAGTAGTGTTCTGCAAGCAAAATTTTAGGATGACAAACGCATGACTTGTCTAATTTATGCGAGTGGATGGAGTAATAGGGAATACTTAACTCAAAATGCATAATTGTCTCACTCGTCTGAAGGCCAGTAGTGATTGCAAAATCTGCACCTCTTCTGTGGCTAATGTTCATTTCATAGTGATCCTTACTCTCTGCCAGGCAGCAGAAGTACAGTGACAATGTGTAAAACGTGCTGGCCCATTTTTGAGTGAGCTAAATATGCAAGAGTAGTCTTATGCCTGCAGTAGTACAATTTGTTGGTACCACAGTGGTTTAAAGGTGCACCAAACTATGTTGGTGTAATCAATTCATTTTGGCTATCAAAGTTTATTAATTATAAAAAGATAATAAAAAATTACTTTAATTAATATTAAAGTTATTTGGGGCACCACCCTTAAAGGGAAATGATAGCCAATTATCGATTGATTCTGTCTCATAAAACTCAAAAAACTATTAATTTAGAAATTTGAATAGTAATTAAATTATTAACTATAACCAAGAACAAAAATAAATAGGCCAACATGTATAAACACAAGCATTTATTAAATAAATGATAAAAAGCAAAATAGATGAAAACACGGAATGTACAATCTAACTTACTAAAGAGGCTGAAGTGTGCGTGCATTTGGTTTGTGCGGCAGAAAAGGTGTGTGTCTATTTGGTTTGTGCGGCAGAAAAGGTGTGTGTCTTTGTCCTCTGACCATATGTTTCAGCTGAGCGTAAAACACATGTTGGTTAGAGAGAAAGACCATGGAAGAGCGGGAGGGTTTGAGTTCCCTCTCCTCATGTGTGTTCTGAGCTTTAAGCTGAATTTAGGTCTGTATGTGCGTGTGTGATCGTAGATGCTGTTAAAAGGCAGTGGCATGCAAAGACGTGGCATGCAAAGACGGTGTCTGTGTGAAGCTTAAACTAACATCACCTTAGTGATGTTACTACAGTAACCTGCGTTTATCATATCAACATCACAACAACATAACCTGAATAAAACACAGTACAGTAACATTAAAAAGTAATTAAACAGTTCTTGCTTAGCCATTAACCCTGTTAAATTATCTAAAAGAAGGAATCCTGGTCATCAGCTGGCATTCCTGCGAGCCAGGCTTTCGCTCATTGCTCTGTAAGAGAGAGAATAGCGGCGTGCAAGGAGTTTTATCATCTGGACATCGCGCGTCCTCAAGTCATCTCAGGTTAATGTCCCAGGAAGTGACCTGTCACAATAAAAGTCCAGTTAAATCACTCAAAATTAACAAATTAAATTTTAAAGGTCCCCTTTAACCTTATAATAGACAGCTGTACACATGCATTAATTATGATTACATTACTTATCATTACATTAGATCAAAAACTAGTTAACCTAGGTCGAGGAAATAAAGGGTTAAAAAAATAATAAATATAATGTAAGCAGCATCGTAGCATTAAAGTAATTAACATTATCAGTCATAATGGCGGTGTACTTTTGTTATTTTAGTTGTTTATGTGCTGCTCTTTTGGTACCAAGATGATACAAAAATGTTGTAAACTTGACGGTACTCAGGATGCAATTTTTCCAGATCTGACGGCGCAGCATATACACCTACAAATACTCTAGTCGACCATTAAATGCTACAGAAAAAAAAACATGTCGCAGTGCAACAAGTGCAGTCATTAATTCTCCTGTCTATGGCTATATCTTTGTCGCTGTGCTGTGTATGTGTTTGTGTGTATATGTGTGTGGGTGCAGGTGCTCAGCCCCGCCCCGCCGCTGAAACTGCAAGTTCAACAAAAGCTCTGCAAAAAAGTAAATAAGAGTAATTTATTAATGTAATCCACACAAAACTTGTACAGACAAGGAAAATAAACACTGGGCAGAATACCGTACCATTCAGGTTACTCAGGTTGGCCAAAGCTGCAGTGAAGCAACACTGCAGGACACCTTTAAAAAGGAGAAACTCCCTCCAGACAGCAACCATGCAAGATCAAAAAGTCTGTTAGGCAGGCTACATAAATATTATACATAAAAAAAACCATTAAGAACCAGTTTGGTTGCAGGCAATGTTTTTTCTTTATGCAATGCAGCGCTATTCACTATTATTAAGAACCCTAACCCTAACCCAGGACTCGGTATAAGCAGATAATCAATATTAAATAGAGATCAGGGGCAACCAGGGAGAGTCGGAGGAGTCCCACACCCACAACACACAAACAGAGAGAAAGACAGGAACACCAGGGAAGGGAAAACACTAGAAACACTAGGATGTACTGGAGCATGGTACTGACCATAACAGTGAGGCATTACTACACCTGGCTGACCAGGACAGCATATTAAGTGTCCCACCAGGAATACTAACACACTGGACCACCGCTACACCATAATAAAGCATGCCTATTCGCTCTGTTCCCATGCAGCCTTGGGACTCTCTGGTCACTGTCTGGTTCCTCTTAACCCGACCTACAGGCAGAAACCTAATTCTGCTAAGCCTGTGGTCAAGACTGTGAGAATATGGACCAACGAGTCTAAGCTGGAATTACAGGTTTTGACTGTACTGATTGGATTGTTTTGAGGCTGCAGCCACAGACCTTCACAAACTCACTGACACTGTGACAACTTACAACAGTTTTTGTGAGGATCTGTGTGTCAAGAAAAGACCTTCTGCACATATGGCAACCACAACCCTGGTTTACAGCAAAACTCAGGCAGCTTTTCAGCCAAGAAGCCAGCTTTTCAGCCAACGACCCTGCATCCATGTGGAGAAGCCTGAAGGACATCACCAAGACCATCCCCCCCACACTGCGGAGAACCACCAACTGGCTGACAACCTGAATGTGTTTTACTGTAGACTTGAAAATCCCACATTCACACACCTCCCTCGCTCCAACATCATA